CAGTGGAGCTCTTTAAATGATTGATTGGTTATGACAAGGACTCACTTAGCAGCCCAAGTTAGCTTCAGATTCCCAAGTCCTCCTGCCTCAGCCTCCTGAGTGCTGGGATTTCAGGTGTGTGCTACCATCTCCGCCCTTTTAGAAGCCTTTACAGAGGATGCTTTGAGTAGGGAAATGAAGACCAAAAAGCTGAAAAGGAGAGCTGAGTGTGGTGGCACACCCCTGTAATTCCAGCTTTTGGGAGGCTGAGGCAGGAGGATTGCTGAGTTTGAAGCCAACGTGAGCTATGTAGGGAGACCCTGTCTCAAAAAACAACAAACAAAAGGAGAGTACAGGGCGGAAACTTATTTTGGGAAGGGGAGAAAGTCACAGGCCGACACAGTGCTGCATGAGCCCCTAGCCTGGGAGAAAGGGCCAGGCCATAAAGGGCAGGGCTGAAGGAACCTGGGTAACCCCTGAAACGGATTCTCTGTTGTTTTTCAGCCAACCACCGCATTAGTTCTTTGTCCCTAGGACAGCGGCACTCATTTGGTCTCGCGACCGCGGGCTCTAAACATTGTCCCAGCCTTGGCAGCCCCCGGGGGAGCAAGAGCTGCAGCACCGCGGTCCTTCAGGAGTGGACAGGAGACCCCGCCTCAGGGGTCTCCCCCAAACAACCCACAGTGTATTTGCCTGGAGCCAGCCCAGTGCTCGCGGCCTCCCCCTGGTGGCCGTACCGGGGATTTCGTGCTGTCTGCAAGGACTTGGTCGCCCGCCTGTGGTTGGCAGACCGCAAGGGCCCACCCGTGCTCAAGGGGAGGCTCAGCGGTGCTTTTCACGGTCCTAAAGGTCCTGTTTGGGAAGGTGAACTGAGCCTTTCTGATCTCGTCAAGAAAAGCTATACGTTTGCTTGCTACACTTGTGGCACAAGTCTGAGTTCTTTTCAGACTCTCCAAAGCCCTTGGTTCACACGGTGCCTGCCTGCTGGCCGGGCACACTGGGAAGTTAACTGAGGGGCAGGAGGCTGGCTCTAAGGACTTGTGCTCAAGCCACACGTACCCTGACCCAGACGCACACCAGTGGCAAGGTGGACCGCAGGGGGTTCAGGACCTCCTCTAAAAATTAAACGCATTGAGCTGGGTGTGGTAGCACATGCCTATCATTTCAGCATTCAGGAGGCCGAGGCAGGAGGATCCCTGCCTGTCCTGTTTTAGGGACACAGGGGTCGCAGGCCGGAAGCCGGGGAACTAGTTCCTGCAGAAGTGAGGTGCACACCTTGGATTAGGCGAGGAAGGCAGTTTGACGTTTTTCTTTCTTTTTTCCATTGTTCTCACTGAGGGAGAGAAATCCGAGCATCCCGGCCTGTTCTTCCCACTTGGGCAAGGGCGAGGTGGGCACAAAGGGCAGGGACACCTCGAACCTTGGGCCCAGATGCCACACCTGTGGGTCCTTCGGGGTTAAGATTAACCTGTAGGTAAACGAGCCGCACCTCCCTGAGGGCTTGGCCCTGAGCCGCAGCCCAAGGCCAGGATTTCCTGTTCCTCCCTCATCCTCTCCAAGGCTGCCAGGCCAGGCACAGGCCCCTTTCCCTGGCAAGGCCGCCCTCCAGGCCCCTGCCTGACCCGTGGGTCTTTCCCAGAACAACTCTGTCCTCCTGCGTTGGCGTCACCTTAAAGGGACTCAGATTTGGTGGCAATGTGCTTCTGCAAGAGAGAGAAAAACAGCCAGGCATGGAGCACATACCTGTAATCCCAGCACTCAGGAGGCTGAGGCAGGAGGATCCATTTGAATTGGAGGCCAGGCTAGGCTAGTGAGTTTGAGGCCAGTCTGAGTGACAGAGTGAGACCCTGTCTCACACAGATAAACCCAAAAGAAAGAAAAAAGAGAGAACCAGTGCCACCCTCAGCCAGTGTACAATTCTGCGCCCCCCACCCCGTGGGGCGGCTGTGGGAGGATGTCTTTGCCAGCCTGTAGCTGCTGTGGCCTATGCACTTTTTTTTGTATTTTTCATTTTTATCGGTACCAGGGATCGAACTCACAACCGCCTGCTTGCAAGGCAGGCACTTATGCCACTGACCTAAATCCCCAGCCCCTAACAGAGCCTTGCTATGTTGAACTATGTCACCCAGGCTGGGGTGGGACTCAGAAATCCTCCTGCCTCAGCCTCCCCAGTGCTGGGATTAGCTGTGCATTATCATATCCAGCTTTAATTGGTATTTTTTTGAGACATGGTCTTGCCATGTATCCCTTGCTGGCCTTGAATTTTGGTCTTCCTGCTTCAGCTTCCCAGGTATGTGTAGGATTGCAGGCATGCACCATCTTGCCTGGCTCATGAAAATGTATGTTTCCGAGTCATTTATACAACATCAAAATCGCATTTGTAACAGTAAGGCAATGGTTAAACCCAAGCACATTCTGTTTGTGAAATTATACTGCCATTAAGAGATAGAGGGCCGGGGGCTTAGCTCAGTGGTGTAAGTGCCTGCCTGGCAAATGCAAGGTCATGAGTTCAATCCCCGGTACCAAAAAAAAAAGAACTAGAGACACGCAGACTTTGCCGTAACTGTTGATGATCTATCTATTAAGTAGGCAGAGAGGAGAGGGAGGGCCGGGGATGTAGCTGAAAGGTCCTTCCTTTGCACAGCACATGGGAGAGTGTGGGCCTCAACCCCACCACCACAAAAAGAAAAAAATAGCAGACACCAAAGTGATCGCAATTACATTCTTTAAAAATTATGCTTAGAGGGACTGGGGATTTAGCTTAGAGGCATAAGTGCCTGCCTTGCAAGCATGCGGTTGTGAGTTCAATTCCTAGTACTGATAAAAAAAATTAAAATGAAAAAAATTATGCTTAGAAATTAAGAATAGAAGAGAGTACAAAGCCGGGAGTGGTGACACATGCCCATAACCCCAGTACTGAGGAGGCTGAGGCAGGAGGATTGCTGTGAGTTCAAGGCCAGTGTGGGCTACACAGTGAGTTTGAGGCCAGTTTGAACTACATAGTTAAACCCTGTCTCAGAGAGAGAGAGAGAAAGAGAGAGAGACAGAGAGAGAGAGAGACAGAGAGAGAGAGAGAGAACACAAATACCTGTCAGGTTGCTGGGTTATTTATTGGCAGAACTGGGGATTGAATCCTGAGCCTTCCCAAGGAGCCACATCCCCAGCCTCCTCCTTGAGACAGAGTCTCCTTATGTATTACAGGTTGGCTTGGAACTCACTTATGTCCCTAGACAGGCCTCGAATTCTCAGAGATCCTTCTGCCTCAGCCTCCTGAGTGCTGGGATGATAGGTGTGCACCACCACACCCAACTACCAGTCCATTTTTGCTTTTTATTTTGAGACAGGTTCTAAATTGCTCAGTTGCTCACACTGGTCTTGAATTTGTGACCTTCCTGCCTCAGCCTCCCTTTACAGGCATGTGCCACTGTGCATAGCTCCTCCACCTCTGTGGACTGTGGGTGTAGCTCAGGGGTAGAGAGCACTTGCTTAGCATGTGTGAGGGGAGGCTCTGGCTTTGATTTTTTGGCAACACAAATACAGGTACACAGACACACATGCATGCACACACATGCAGTCCCCTTTAAGGGTCAGTGATAATAAATTCTATTAAAGATGTTAATATCTTTTTAAAAATCCAAAAGAACATGAGAGGGAAGACTCAGAGGTAAGTAGTAAAGGACTGTGGGCCTCAACAGAGATGTGCCGAAATGGTGCGCCCAGCTGTGGATGTGGCTCGGTGGTGGACCGGTTGCCTAGCATGCACAAAGGCCCTGATTTCAACCCCCAGTACCACCACACACACACACATACACACACACACACACACACACACAGGCTTTAGAGTCACAGGACCTTGGGATATAAAGGAATTCATCGGCCTGGCAGTGCTGAGTTCCAAAGGCAAACCAGGCACATTTGTTTCTTGACAGGGTCTCACTAGGGAGCCCATGGTGGCCTCAAACTTGCAGCCATCCTCCTGCCTCAGTCTCCCAAGAGCTTGAAGGACAGGAGTGCACCATACTCCTGGCAACTAAGCAGGATCAGAAGGAGTAGTGAGGCAGGGACACCCTCAATTCCATTTTCTAAAATTTCCCCTTAGAAATTTCAAGGCAGTGTCAGAACAGTCTCATGGGACAGGGCAGGACTAGAACTCTCCTCGGCTTCCTGATAGGTGTATTACAACTTTGTCTTTTTATTTGTTTTGTTTTTTGTCTTTTTGAGACAGGGTCTCAATATGCAGTTCAGGCTGGCCTTGAGCTCACTCTGTAGCCCAGGCTGGTCTCAAACTCTCAACGATCTTCCTGCCTCAGCCTCCCGAGTGCTGGGATTACAGGTGTGCACCACAATATCCATTGAGCTAAATCCCCAGCCCTTTTTTGTTTTCTTGAGACAGAGTGTTGCTAGGTAGTTCAGGCTGGCCTTGAATTTGCAGGGATCCTCCTGCCTCAGCCTACCAGGTGCTGGAATCACAGGTGTGCCCGCCATGCCTGACTGTTGGTGGGGAGACTTGGGAACTTCTCTGTGTTTGGCTTGCTGTTGGCCCTGGCTTGTTGGTCAGCTGTAGCTCAGCCCTACTCTGCCAGCAGCAGTCTCAGGTTGCGGGCTGGCTGTGCGCGCTGGGACCAGCTTCCTGGGCTCCGCAGCCCGGGGTTTGGGGCTCGCTTCTGTGCGGTCTCTAGATACCCCTCTCCTTAATAATAAGATTGTTTACCAGCTAGTGCCAGGCGTAGCAGCTCAGCCTGCCACTGAAACCCCAGGAGGCCACGCCAGGGCAGGTGCGCGGTTGAGAAAGTCCCCAAGCTCACACTCATGGCACACGGTGGAACCGGCTGTATCCCGAGCTTGCTCGTAGGGCAGAGGTGGGGGTGCGGTGGACAAACGTCCACCGGTTGCCCTGCCTGGGACCCTGGTTCACCGGCCCCCCTGAGCAAGGGAGGGGGGGCCCCTGCAGGCGGATCCGGGTAACTGCGGCTCCCTCCGCCCTCTCCAGGGAGGGCTGGGATTTTCCCAGAGCTGAGGCTCAGGCCAGGAAAATTATCCAGTGCCTGACTTCACGAGGTGAGGAGGGGACTGCCTCTGAGGACAGAAGGGACGGCGCCGCAGAAGACCTGGAAGAAGTCATCGCCCTGGCCTTCGTAAGGGAGAACTCCCGGAGGGGGCTGCAGAGCATCCAGGCGCAGGGCAGGAAGAGGAGGAGGAAAAAGAGGTTAGCATCTCGGGGCAGGAGTGGGGTCCAGTGGGTTAGCACAGGAAGGTCCTGGGTGCGTGGCTTGGCTGACAAGTAGAGGGCAGAGGACAAACGGGGTTACACTACTTCTTTCCTGACACAGGGTCTCCCTGTGCTGGTCAGGCTGGCCTCGAACACATAATGAGCCTCCTGCCTCAGCCTCTGGAGTACTGCAGGACGGGCATGTGCCACCACACCCAGCCTAGAATGCCTTTTTAAAAATAAGTGTAGGAGCCTGGCGTGGTGGCACACACCTGTCATCACAGCACTGGGGAGGCTGAGGCTCACTATGAGTTCCAGGCCAGCCTGGGCTACCATAGTGAGGAGAGATACATGAGTATTTGGGCCAAAATGATTTTTAATTCCTGTCCCCAGTGGACCCGTGCAATAGAAGGACAGAGGTGATGACCGATGACCAGCTGCCGCTGCAAATCTGCATCCCGCACCTCTGGCAGAGCAGCATCTCTGCCTGGCTCTGGTTTCCACCGTTCTGTGCCCTGCTGGGTCCCTGTCCCCAGCGAGGGATGGGTCAGGCCCACTCTTAGGGGCCTTCTGGGAGCCGGTGCATGTGTTGCTGTCCGGCTGCTTCCCTTTTCTCTTTTCCAGATGATTGGTGATCAATCTGTCCAACTGCCGGTACGAGAGCGGTGAGCACCTGCCTTCGAGGGGCCCAGGATGGGGACCCGCTGTTACCCCAGGGATGGGAAGGGTCCTCGGGTGTATCCTTGGGGATGAACCCTCCTCCATGGTTTTCCTGACCTATGAGCTGCTGACAGAGGCTGACAATCTCTCGGAAATCACAGGTTTTGCCAACAATGATGTGTACGTCAGTTCCCAGAAATTCCCTTTTTGTTTGTTTGTTTGAGACAGGGCCTCGCTACGTAGTTCAGGCTGGCCTTGGATTCCCAGCAACCCTCCTGCCTCAGCCTCCTGAGTGCTGGGATTACCTGTGTGTGGCACTGTGCTTGGCCCCACCGTCTATGATTCTCATTTGTAATTTGAGGGTCAGATTTTAGAGCACAAATTACAAAACAGCAGCCCACTGACTGCAGACCTACTCTACTGGCCTCCAGACTTCATCGTAGTGGAGTGCTTGCACTGAAGGCTCTTCTTGCCTAGGCCCTTGAAGGACTTTGGGCTTGTGTCAGAGCCAGCGGCTGGCTGGTAACACTAATGGGAGAGCTGAGATGGGTGTATTTCTGTGCTTTTGAAATACACTGTCTAATTTGCCAGTTCACCTCCAGACCCACGCTTGGCTCTGGCTGATGTTAAGGATTGGTTTATATTCACTGGACTTTCAGGGCTTAGTGTGGAGCAAAGTCAGCAGCCCACTTTCTGGAAAGGGGAAGCCAGGCCACGTCCAACATTCATGTAGACAATCTGTGGCAGTGGGGTGCCACTTGTGCTCTTTTTTTCTTCTTTTGGTGTTTCTTTCTTTCTTTTTTTTTTTTTTTTTGAGACAGGGTCTGTCACTCTGTAGTCCAGGCCGCCCTTGAACTCACCATAGAGCCCAGGCTGGCCTCGAACTTGCAGAGATCCTCCTGCCTCAGCCTCCCGAGCTCTGGGGATGACCAGTGTGCACCACCAGGCTCGGTGGCACCCGCTGTCTTCAGCAGCTTCGCCTTCCCATGTACTGGGCCACCTGCATCCATCAGACAGAACAAGACAGCTCCCATGCCCAAGGAGCTGGTTCTGTCCCTTGGGTGCTGGGGTCTGAGAGGGGAGACCCTCCCCACCCCCACGCTTCCCCCACTTCCCGTAAGGCCTGGCTTTGTCCAACCCCGGGCAGTGCGCAGGGCAGCCCAGCAGTATGGCCTCCGGGAGGGGGGCGAGGACGACGACTGGACCCTCTACTGGACCGACTACTCCGTGTCTCTGGAGCGGGTGATGGAAATGAAGAGTTACCAGGTGCTGTCTGCAGGGTCCACGTGGCGCCGGCCCCAGGGGTCTCCAATGTTATCCTTGCCCCTCCCCCCAGCTAGTCATGGATTGCGGCTTCTTTCGCAGAAAATCAATCACTTCCCCGGGATGAGCGAAATCTGCCGCAAGGACCTGCTGGCCAGGAACATGAGCCGCATGCTGAAGCTGTTCCCCAAGGACTTCCACTTCTTCCCCAGGACCTGGTGTCTCCCAGCAGAGTGAGCCCCAGGTCCCACCCCTCCGTCTCGCCCCTCCCTCCCCGCAGACTCCACCCCCCCGCTGACCCCACCCCGGGAGCCCGCGGACCCCGCCCCTTCCCCCCTCCGCATCCCCACTAGCCCCGCCCTCCCCTGTCCCGCCCACCCGGGAGCTTGCTGGCTCCAGCCTCGCTGCCCTCCGAGCGGGCTAGGGAGGGAGAGACCCAGGGCGTGTCCAAGGCTGAGCACACACCAGGCTTTGCCTATAAACGCGCGGCAATCAGGGGCCGGGCGCCGCCGAGCCTGTGCCCACAGTTGGGATGAGTTTGTTCTGACCCTGAAACCTGTTGATTTTGAACTCGGTCCAACCGTTTACCGGTGCAGTTCCTGCAGTTTCAAGAACCTGCAGCTCCTCTGCTTGGGTTAGTGCCCCAGGTCAGAGCAGGACAGTTGTTCCCCGTCACCCCACCCCCCACTGCCTCTTTCCCTGCTGTGCCATGCATGGGTAGCAGTCTGCCCTTCTTGAGTTGAGTTTTTCCCGTCTCAAAACTGCACTTCTGGCCAGGCCTGGTGATGCATGCCTGGCATCCCAGCACTCAGGAGGCTGAGGCAGGGGGATCACCTGGAGTTTGAGGCCAGCCTGGGCTATATAGCAAGACCCTGACTGTGACTCAAAGCGGTGTCTTCCTCCTCCTCCTCCTCCTCCTCCTCCTCCTCCTCCTCTTCCTCCTCTTCCTCCTCTTTACGCTGCCCTGGCTAAAGATCCGTCTTCTTCCCTCCCTGTCCTGCTAAGCTGGGGAGGCCTGCAGACCTACAGCAGGTCGAGGAAAAATAAGACGTACATTTGCAAACCGGACTCAAGCTGCCAAGGGCGAGGGATATTCATCACCCGGACAGTGAAGGAAATCAAGCCTGGGGAAGATATGATCTGTCAGCTCTATATTTCAAAGGTACTTCCTGAGCGCCATTATTTATTCCTTGTCCACTGCTGCCCAGCTCAGGCTGCACTGGGCAGAATGGGAAACATGGTGTGGAGGGTGAAGCGGATGCAGCCTGGCTTCTGCCTTAGGCTCTGCCTGACTGAGCCTCCTGGCCAGGAGCTAATATCCCTTATCTGGGCCAGCCAGGGTGTCCATCACACTTGCATTCTGGTCCTTCGGCCCGGCCTCACCGGGCTGGCCCCTGTGCTGGGACAGAGGAGAGCTGGGCCACCACCATGGTGTGTGGAGGAGGCTTCACCTTCAGCAGAGGAAGCCATCCTGGAAACCAGCTTCCTGGGGTCAGAGGTCACTGAGGTACTAGGAACTTTCTGGAACTTTCTGGGGGAGAGGCAAACATTGGCCTGTTTGGGACACAGGCCCAAGGAACATTGCAGGGAGAACTGTCACAGAGCCACGGCCCTTGGGTGGCCATGGGTGGCAACCACATGCACAGAAGGCCTGTTAGTATTTGTTTGGTTGCCAGGATGTCTCCCGGAAGTGGTGGCTTGTGGCATTCGAGAGATCAAAAGACCAAAGCAGTGTGGCTCAGTGATCTCCCAAAGGCCACACGTCCGGTCACAAAGGCTGGGTCCTGATCCCCCTCCCTGGAGCTGGCCAAGCCTGGCACTTTGCACAGGCGACCTCAGAGCAAGGAGTTTTCACTCCTGGAAACCGAGATGGGACCGAGGTGTCGTATGCAAAGTGTTCCCCTGACACTGTGTGACTTCCCTCCCCCAGCCCTTTATCATCGATGGGTTCAAGTTTGACCTGCGGGTTTATGTGCTGGTGACTTCCTGTGACCCCCTCAGGATTTTTGTGTACAATGAAGGACTGGCCCGCTTTGCTACTACGTCCTACTCCCACCCCTGTGCAGACAACCTGGTGAGCAGAGGGGACACACTCCCCCCCCCCGCCCCCGCCCTTTAGCCTGGTCAGGTCTACACCCTCCGGGCCTCACTGGGATTGAGCATCCTTCACTGAGCACTTATTGCATGCAAGAATCCTCCGTGTGGCCTTCCTTTTGTTTTTTGAGACAGAGTCTTGCTCTGTAGTCCAAGCAGGCCTTGAACTCACTGTGTAGCCCAGGCTGACCTCAAACTTGAGGTGATCCTCCTGCCTCAGCCTCCTGAGTGCTCGGGTGACAAGTGTGCTCCCACAGCTGGCTGTTTTGTGGGTTTAAGGACTTCCTAAGATTTCCCTTTCTTCTATCCTTTAAGCACAGGGCCTGGCGCGGGGTGGAAGATGGGAAGGCAGGAGAAAGGTCCCACAGGCTTGTGTCTCTTCCCCCAGGACAACACCTGCATGCACCTGACTAATTATTCCATTAATAAGCACAGTTCAAACTTCATTCAGGACGCTCACTCGGGCAGCAAGAGGTAAGGGAGGGGCTGGGCACCCGTGTGCCCCCCTCTCTCCCGCATCCCACTCAAACCCCGCCCTTCCCTGCCCCTCCCTGCACTGGGTCCATCTTGGGTCACGTGGCCTCACCTCTCCACCCTCGGGGCTGTTAATCATTACAGCAGGCCACTTGTAAACTCAGAGCTGGGAGGAGGACAGGTAAACACCAGTTTTCCCAGCAGAACACACAGGCGGTCCCAAACACGCAGACACCGACACAACAGGCCAGGCCGGCAGATGTGTGCTGATCACACCTCTGCACGTGAGAAGGGCTCGCTGGGCATTGGCTGCTCTTTGGCCTTGGTTCCCAGGGACGTTGTTACATTAGAGATTCTCTGGGGATGTGTCAGATTCCCTCCCAGAGGAGTTCATGAGAGTCTTGTCATAGGCAATGTTTCCATTCCTGTTACCATCTGAGCAGCGCTCTTTCTGAGTTTTTGTTCTGATTTGTTTGTTGTTTTGCATTGTTTGAGACAGGATCCCACCAGGTAGCCCAGGCTGGCCTTGAGCTTGCAAGAATCCTCCTGCCTCAGCCTCCCAAGTGCTGAGATTACAGACCTGTGCCACTGCACCCTGCTTGTTAAAATTTTCACCCCGACATTTTGTGGGTGGGGGCCAGGGCCATTTTAACGATGAGGAAACAGTGTGAGAGGTTGGGGTGCCATCCATTTAGGGACAGTGCCTGCGTGTGGCGGGGACAGCAAGTCTCCCCTTCTTTCTCCCCATCATCCGAGACCCTCGCTGCCCATGCTGACAGACATCTTAGGCCCATGTTAGCAGCCAAGGCCAGTGGTGTCAGAGTGATGGCACCTTCGTCTTCTTGCAGCTGGCACAGGGCTGGTGTCAAGCTTGTGACCGGCCCCAGGGCCATCACAATTGCAGCACACAGCCCCCGCGATGGTGGGCTCTGAGTCACCAAGAGATGGAGGCGATCCGTTTCTTGTGTGGGAAGTCAGGCAGCACATCCTCTGTTTTAGGGAAAGTTAGGCAAATTAAAATGCTCAGGTTTCCTGCCCAAAGCTTTGTGTTCTAGTGCCCTGAAAATCCATTTAGGCGCAGACGGTGGCAGGTGGAGGGGGGGCTTCTGTACTGAGTGGCCTTTGCTCCTCTGTCCTTTGAGCTCAGGTGTTGGTTACTCTCTGGGAGGAGCTAACCACAGCCTCTGCCTAGGGCTTTCCTATCCAAAGGAGGACACCTGTTAATCTTTCCCTGTGGAACTACCCAGGGCTGCAGGTTCCTTATGGGCACCACTAAACAAGACTGCTAGATCTTTGATGCCTCCCAAGACCCTCACATGTCCTCAGTGGGGCCGAGGTGTCATTATGCTCCCCAAGCTGGGTGTGGTGGCACAAACCTGTAAATCTGGCACTTGGGGAGGCTGAGGCAGGAGGATCACAAATTCAAGTCCAGCCTGGACAACTTAGTGACTTAGAGAAAGCCTGTCTCAAAATAAGAAATAAATGTGAAGACCCTGGGTCCAGTCCCCAACTACTTAAAAAAAATTAAAAATAAAAGGCTTCAACTGGGTGTGGTGGCACAAGCCTGTCATCCAGCACTCTGGAGGCAGAGGCAGGAGGATCACTACCTTCCAGACCAGCCTGGGCTGCAAAGTGAGCTCAATGGACAAAAAAAAAAAAAAAAAAAGGTTTCTAGAAGACACCAGAGGTTGCAGTAGGCAGGTCCCTGCCCTCCCTGGGTCTGGGTGTTCAGTGTCCCCAGCCCCAGAGCCTCATGGTCCACAGAGGGTTCCCAAATGTCGCCAGCCCTCCCCAGGGCCGTGCTTCCCCGCAGGAAGTTGTCAGCCTTCAATGTCTACATGGAGAGCCACGGCTACGACGTGCCGCAGATCTGGAGGGCCATCGAGGACCTCATCATCAAGACGCTCATCGCCGCCCACCCGGTCATCAAGCACAACTACCAGACCTGCTTCCCCGGCCACACGCTCAACAGCGCCTGCTTTGAGATCCTGGGCTTCGACGTCCTGCTGGATTGCAAGCTGAAGCCCTGGCTGCTGGAGGTGGGGTGGGGGGGCAGCCGGGAGGGGCGGGGGCTGCGTCGGGGCCCCGCCCCCTTCGGCTCGGCTGCTCCTCCTCCTCCTCCTGCCCGGGTGCTTGTGGCCGAGCTGAGAGGCGCCGGCCACCAGAGGGGGGTAGACGGCTGGGAATCGGACCATCCCGTCCTCCCGAGGCCCGGCAGCATCAGGTCTGCCTCTGGTGACAGCCTCTCCCGCCCGGAAGGGGACCTGGGCCCTCAAAGGCCGGTCCACTGTGCTCAGGGTTACACCGGGCGGGGCTGCCTCCCTGGGCTCTCAGGGGCCCGGAATACTCAGTTCCAAGCACTCAGGGTGCTGGAAATGAAGCTGCTCAGTGAGCTTCCTGAGGCAGGTGGGTGCAAGGTTCCCAGGGGGCTGCTATTTTGTCCTCACAGGTCAACCACTCTCCAAGCTTCTCCACTGACACCCGGTTGGATAGGGAGGTGAAGGACAGGCTGCTCTATGACACCCTGGTCCTCATCAACCTGGGAAGCTGTGACAAAAAGAAAGTCCTGGAGGAGGAGAGACAGCGGGGCCGCTTCCTGCAGCAGTGTCGTTCCCGGGAGGTCAGGTACATTGGTAACCCGACCTTGGTCCCCAGCCTGGGGACCTGCGCCTGTGGCTGTCCTGGTCCAAGTTACGAAGCAAAAGCCCACCACTTAGGTGGCCTTTGGGTCCCTTCCTGAGCCTCAGTGATCCTTTGTCAGATGGAGCCCGTGCTGCCTCAGATTGCTGGGGGAAGGAATGAGGTCATTCAGGGCAAACCTTAGCTCCAGGGCCAGCATCACAATTTGTAAGAAGCTATCAAAGAATTTTGCCTAGGGTAAAAGGAGGTACCTCATTGGTAAGGTACACTTGCTTGGCAAGTATGCGGCCCTGTGGTCAATCTCCAGGACTGCTGAAAACAATAAAATAACATAAAAGATAGCTGGGCATGATAGGGCATGCCTATAATCCCAGCACTTGGGAGGCTGAGGCAGGAGGATTGCCATGAATTTGTGGTCAGCTTGAACTACATATTGAGTCTCTGCCTTTAAAAAAAAAAAAGCCTAAATAAATAAATGAATCTTGTCTGGAGTTGTGAGAGAGAGGCTCATTTCAATAAACAATAATCCTACTTGGAAGATGAGTTTCTATGAAGGATGTTCCAATTTCGATAGTTTTATTATAAATGTGCCTTTGTCCCTAGAATTAGAAGATTAAATTACAGACACAAAACTACATATAATGGATTTGAATTGATTAAATTGTGAGAAGATTTAGGAGTCACCAGTATAAAAGAACCACAACCAACCCATGTTTTGGAGATGGGTCTCTCTGTGTAACCCAGGCTGGTCTTGAACTTGGGGCAGTCCTCCTGCCTCAGCCTCCCAAGTGCTGGGCTTACAGGCCTACACCACTGTGCCTGGATACCATTTATTTTTACTAAAGGAGAGCTCTGTAAGTCCCATGCCATGCTCCTGAGCTGGTAAGAGGGGTGTCTCCTAGCTTCCAGCCTTCGCCTTGTAACTGGAATATTGGTTCTGCAGAGATCTTAGCACCAGAGGTTCTGAGCCTGGCCCAGGAGCACCCTTGATGCTTTCAGACCAAGTCCTAGGCCCTCCTGCAGGGCAGAGCCAGCCCAATGCTTGGGAATCAGCTTCTGCACAGGGCCATGAGTAGCACTGCCTTCTGGGAGAGGGCGCGGGGGAGGCAGAAGGGTGTTGTACTGCCTGCTCCTGAAGCCAAGAGCAAGACTCCTGAAGGGGGACATGGCTTGGTCACTTTTTGGGTCTCAGAGGCACCATGCCTGACATCCGCAACTCAACGGAGAGGTTTATTTTGGCCTCCAGTTTGTAAGAGGTTTCGGGCCACAGTCAGCTGTGCCAAGACAGAAGGGTACTATGGAGGGGCCTGGCGGAAGACAGGTGCACACCTCATGGGGTCCAGGAAGCACAGCTGGACGCGGGGAGAGAAACCCTTCCATGCCATGCCCCTGGACCGCCCCTTGACCAGGCCCCGCCCCTAGCCTCAAGCCCAGCTGCACAGGCTCACTATCCAATCACCTTCCGCTTTCACGCCTCCAGCATCCAATCACCTTCCAAACAACAGGAAGCCATTGCCAAGATTGCCTTGCTCCTCCAGGCCCTGAACCCTGGACAGTGAGTCTGGGCTACAATTCCCGGCCACTCTCACCTCTGCTGCTGGGAGCCAGGGGGACAACCTCCCCTCGTCAGCACGTGGCCCTGGGTGTCTCAGTGACTCTCTGGGTAACTTCCAGAGTGAGGCATCACGCCTCCCTGCCTGATCTCCACCTTCCTGGAGGGCTGTCAGGAAGCATGAGATCGTTGCAGCCATAAAAGCCATTAAGCTCATCTTAGAAGCCTCGATTTAGCCAAAGGCAAGCTGTGGTCTCCAGAGCGGGGGTGATGAGGTGACGAAGGGGAGGTGGCCACCGTCAGCCTGCTCGGACCAGGAGCTGGGAGAGTTTTACTCGGAAAGGGAGAGAATTTGGTTAAAACATCAGAAAGGCTTCTAACCGTCTCCGAGGGCATCGTGAAGTCGTCATCGTTTGTCCCTGGAGGGCCACGACCTCCTCTCGGGGAAACATTCTTGCTTTTACTCAGTAACACCGATTGGCCTCGGTCATATGCGAAGCCACCATCTGGCCCTTGCTGATGTCCAGCTTGGACAAGGCCTTTTAAAAAAAAAAACAAAACTTTTCACAGCAGCCCTGCAACCTCTTCCCCGACAGGATGGAGGAAACCAAAGGATTCCAGGCTGTGCGGTTACAGAAAACCGAGAAATACGAGAAGGAAAATTGTGGCGGGTTCCGGCTGATTTACCCCAGCCCGAACCTGGAGAAGTACGAGAAGTTTTTCCAGGACAACAGCTCGCTCTTCCAGAACACTGCCGCCTCCCGGGCTCGGGAGGGGTGTGCCCGGTAGGAAGTTTCCCCGGTGGTGAACTGGCTGGCTGTTCTGGGGACTGCACTTGACCCGCTGGCCAATGGGTCGGGTGGCAGGGACAGGGTCTGACCTTGCAGTGACCCCGATACCAGGTATTGCTGAGTAGATGGGTGGCTGCTCCTAGAAATCCATGCCTCGGGACAGACACCCCTGAACCCTGGGATTTACACAGGTGTGAGATCTAGGAGCTGGGAGGGAATTGAGGCATTAAGTTTGGCAGATTTAAGAAGGAGGGTCCAAGATGAGGGTTCTCCTAGTAAGAGGAAGACGAACCAGGACTCAGAACTACCCCATCTCCTGATATCACCATTACACCATCTCTTCCCACTCCCGTGGCCCCTAGCCTGAAAGCTCAGTATATGAAGTGGTCCAGGCTGGGCATGGGCACATACCTGTCATCCCAGCACTCGGGAGGCTGAGGCAGGAGGATCTCTGAGCGTTCAAGGCCAGCCTGGGCTCTGTAGTGAGTGCCAGTCCAGCTTGAACTCCATAGCAAGACCCTGCCTTAAAAAAAAAAAAAGACAAAAATATAAGTGGTCCTACAGGGGAGCCCCTGGCCCTAGCTTCCTACCCAGATCCTCTTTCCAGCCATGGCATGGGAAGTGAGGAGCAGAGGAGGCTGTGGTGGAGCAGGGTGTGATCCCCTCTCTGGAAGTGACTGGAGGGATGGTTCTGGTATTACTCTCTGCCTGGCGGTGGGGCCCTCGGACCGTGGAGTGGTCACCATCCATCCCTGACCCCTTTGCTCTTTGTCATCCACGGGCAGGCAGCAGATCCAGGAGCTGAGACTGCGGCAGGAGGAGAGGAAGCCGTACCATCCACAGGAGAAGAAGGCAGAGCTGCAGGGGGAGGCGGCCGGCGAGCATGTGAGGGCCAAGAGCTCCAGGCCCTGGCCGCAGAGGCAGCAGCATAAATACAAGGCAGCCAAGCGCAGCCCCAGACAAGTAAACCTGGAGGGGAGGGGCCTGAGCGTAGCAGCCACACTGCGCCAGGTGGGGCCTCCAGGGAGGGCTGCTGTGGAGACCCCTGCTCCTGGCCCAGATGCACTGGCGCCTAGGCTTGGGCCACAGGTGGGGTTCTGAGACCCTTGCTGACCTTGGGCCCCACGGGGCACTCGCTGCTCACTCTGCCCTGGGCTGTGGTCATTTGTTTGTTTGTTTGTGTTCCAGACACTGGATTGAACCCAGGGCCTTTGCACTGATCTCCCTTCCCCAGCCCTTTCTTTTTTATTGTGAGGCAGAATTTTGCTAAGTCACTGCATTGTCCAAGCTAGCCTCAAATTTGTGATCCTCCTGCCTCAGCCTGCCAGAGTGTGTGTGTGGGGCGATCACTGTTGTGATCCTCACACCCAGCTTTTTCTAAATCTTTGGCTTGCTACTTCTCTGCCTGTAGCTCTCTTCTAGCTCAGGGAAAGATGGAGTCTCAGCTCATGTGCTTTTTCTTAACACCTCACCTGGAGGGGCAGAATCACAGCAGGGTTTGGGGTTTGTTTGTTTGTTTGTTTGTGTGTTTTGAGACAAGGTCTTGCTGTGTAGCCCAGGCTGGCCCCAAACTCCTGGCGATCCTCCTGCCTCAACTTCCCAAGTGCTGGATTACAGGTGTGCGCCACCACGCCTGGCTGTTTTGCTTTTTTAGAACTTTGTTCCTGTCACAGGCCCTTTAAGAATCTGGTAAAAGTTGTGGAATCTGTCACACTAAAATACACAATGAGCCTTTTTTAAACTGCAGTTTCAAGTGGCCGAAAGACCCTGGAAACCACCCATGAGCCCTGTGAGGGCTCCAGGACCCTAGCTTGTGAACCCAGAGCAGAGACACCTTGTTCCCAGTGCTCCCTTCTTCCTGTCTCGTGGCACCTTCTCTCGGGGGCAGAGGAATCTGGAGGTGCTGGGGTCCCCACGGCGGCATATTGGTTCCCTCTTTCCCAGTGCTTCCAGCCGCTGGCACTGGTGTCCTGCACGCCTACCTTGCTCTTGGGTGTCAGAGACAGAAAGAGGAGTTTAAGGGACTTCTGCCCAGAGTCCCCTGAGGAGGATGCCAAGGCCACACCCCGAGAGGCCACGTCCGCCAGGCCCTGCAGCTCCAAGCTGGATCTGAGGAGCCTTTGTCACGATGGCTCCGACATCAAGGAGACCGCGCTGGCCCCGGCCACCAGCGCAGTCACCAGCTCTACAGTGAGTGTTGCTGAGCTCTGGGACTGGGTTGACAAGGACCCTGCCATCTGGTTCTTCTGGACCTCTGACACCCCTCCAGCCTCAGTTTCCCCCTCATGGGAAGACCAAGTTGCAGAATGGGGTTCCTGCTGGGAAGATGGGCCTGAGATTGTTTTGGGGGCCCCCCTGTGTACCCCTCTTCTTGGTCAGGGTGTCACCTGTATGAGGCTGTGGCCATAAGCTTGGTGGCTTAAAGTAGCCTAAAACCAAGAAGTACTCGGGACCTTGGGGCTTGTTTCCTGCTGGATTCTGGTGTTGACTGCAGTCCTTGCCACTCTGGATTTGTGGCAGGGTGACACTGTGCCTCTGCTGCCTGTCTGTGTCTCCACGGTTCTGTCTGTGTCTCTGTCAAGACAGGGTCTCACTATGTAGTTCAGGCTGGCCTCGAATTCAGTGGCCTAGATTTTGTTTTCTGTACGTCGTTCCCACGGCATTTACACCATATCAGGCATTACCGGTCGTCATCTACAGGCAGCTGGCATACACGGTGGGCGGGCAGAGTGTGGGTCAGAGACCAGAGCACCCTGGGTTTAGTAGTCATGGGGTTGCAGGGTCCTAGCACTAAGCCTCTGTGGGTGCTGCAGGGCAGCCGCGGTTACAGATCTCCTGCAAATACGGAACTAAGTCAAAGGAGCATGAGCAAAATCCAACTAGAGATACTAATTTATTTTATTTGGGAATCAAACTCAGGACTTTGTGCTTGTCAGGTGCCTTGGTCGCTTTTCCCAAAATTAGGGAAGGGAGGTTTTATTTAGCTCAGTTAGTGGAGGCTTCAGTCTGTAACCAGCTGGTTCTGTGGCAGGGTGGCGTGGCCGAGGGGCAGCCATTTGTTGCAGCTGCGAGTGATAAGAGCAATGGGGTAAAAGGGAAACGCACCCCTTTTTTCCTCCCTTACACTGTATGCTGCCCCCCCCCTGGGCGGGTGCAGCACTCACACCACCAATCCCAGCACCAGACAATGAACCAATCACAAATGCTAGACTCAGCCGTCCTAGAAAGGCCCACCTCCCACGCCTGCCTGAGGCTTGGGGGGACATTTAAGCAAAACAATGCCAGGCAAGATACTAATTTAGGATAGCAGTTGACATTGTAGTTCTGTAGGATCATGACCGCATTGCTGGAAAACCATCAGCACAGTAGTTGGGATCCCAGCTGGTCCAAGTAGACAGTGATGGTGTATTTTAAAAAATAAAAAGAATTTTGAGACAGAATCTCACTGTGGAGTCCAGACTCGCCTTGACCTTACTGAGTAGCCAAGAGTGACCTCAAAATCATGGCAAGCCTCCTGCCTCAGCCTCCCAAGTAGTGGAATGATAGGCATGAGTCAAAATTTCTTTTCTGCAATTTTTTTTTTCCATTTTTTTGGTAGCGGAAATCAAACCTGCAACCGCACACTTACAAGGTAGGTGCTTACACTGCTGAGCTAAATCCCCGGCAGTGAGTCAAAACTTTTAACCCTAGTATTTTTCAAATTTTCTAATTCTTGAGGCTGGGGATTTAGCTCAGTGGCATAAGCACCTGCCTTTCAAGCACGTGGTCGTGAGTTCGAGCCATGGTACAGATAAAAACAAAACAAAACAAATTTTCTAATTTTTATAACCATAGTATCACGTATCCATTGTCTCAAAAAAAGAAAAAAAAGAAAAAGAAATCCATTGTCTCTCAGCTGGTCAAGTACTGGGAGAAAGTTTCTATCATCTTTATTTATACTGAATGAGGTGACTTATTTCATATTATCTATTCTATATTATTTGATGATACTTTTTGAGACAGGGTCACACTAGGTAGGCAGTCCAGGTTGGCCTTGAACTTGCTGTGTGGACTTGAATTCAAAATCCTGTCTCAGAATTAACACAGGTATGCTACCATACCCAGCTCGATGCTTTAAAAGATAATATGAGTTACAATCCACTAAATTAATTTCACAACTGTGAATTGGTTTTCAGGCCATATTTTGGAAAGTATTTTTGTTTCTTTCTTTGTTGTTCTGATTTTTTTGGGGTGGGGTACTGGAGATTGGCATCGAACTCACACCCTTGTACTTGCCAGGCAACTGATTATGCCACTGAGCTATATCCTTGGCCCTGTTTTGACTTGTTGAGACAGGGTTTCACTGTGCAGTTCAGGCTGGTCTTTTTTTTTTTTTTTTTTTTTTTGTCTTTTTCCTTTTTATCGGTACCAGGGATTGAACTCACGACTCCCTGCTTGCAAGGCAGGCGCTTACACAGCTGAGCTAAATCTCCAGCCCCCAGGCTGGTCTTAAACTCACCCTGTAGCCTAGGCTGGATGGTGATCCTCCTGCCTCAGCATCCCCAGTGTCGGGTGGGTTTACAGGTGTGCACCACCATGCCTGGTTGGAAAGTACTTTTAAGAGACTGTGCCTTAAGGCTTCATGCCATTGGACGTGACAGTGATTTCTTAGATACCACAACAAAAGCACGAGAAACAAAAACAAATTTAGACAGAAGACATCAAACTTAGAATAATCTGCACAGCAAAGGCAGTGATCAGCACAGTGAAAAGGCAGCTTGCAGAAAGGGGGCAAAAACTTGCAAGTTGTGAGTCTGGAAGAGGTTTGTTGGGCGCTCTGAAGCGGGGCTGGACCCCTGACAAAGTACTGGCGGATCTGATGTCAGGCTCTCAGCCTCTCCTACAAGGGTATCTCCCAAACCACTCAATACCATGGCTTTTGGGGCATGGACTTCAACACAGGAATTCTGGGAGTGAACAGATACTCAGACCCTAGCAAAGTTCATACACAGACTAAAGGTAGGCAGGGGTGCACACTGCCAGACCCAACACTTGGGAGGCTGAGGCAGGAGGATCACCATGAGTTCAAGGCCAGCCTGAACTATGCAGTGAGACCCTATCACAAAAAAAGAAACAAGGGCTGAGGATTTAGCTCAGTGGCATAAACACCTGCCATACAAGCAGGCGGTCATGAGTTCAATCCCCAGTACTGATAAAAACAAAAAAAAAAAAAAAGAAAAAAAAATGGGTGTGTAATGTGTATGTGTCCCCAGAATAATTCAACCCCAAAAAACTCCATTAAAATATGGGCAGGGGCTGGGGTTTGGCTCCAGGATAGAGAGCTTGTCTGGCATACTCAAGTACTTCAGTAACACAAACAACAACAACAAAAACTGTGTGGGTGGGGCAGGGTCACAGGATTTAAATAAATATTTCTCTAATGTGAACTGTAGGATTCAGGTCCTATCTGGGCAATTTAACAAGACTTTTGTTTCAAAAAATTAAAAAAGGCCTGGAAGTGTGGCTTAGTGGTAGAAGAATACCCCTAGGTGTGATCCCTGGTAACACAGATACACACACGTACACAAACTCACAAAAAAAAAAAAAACATGGGGGGGGGGCTGGGGATTTAGCTCAGCGGCATAAGCGCCTGCCTTGCACTTCTGTGTCTGAATCCTTGCTCTCAGCCTGATGTTTTCAAACTCCGTTGATGGCAGAACAAACATCAGAATCTCCTCTCTCTAAAAGGCCAAGTGTCTCATTTTGAGCCTGTCTGAATTTGGCTTGTCCGTTCATTTGCTGGTGCAAATTTAGATTGTTTCCACCTTTTGGTGAATGCTGCATAAATAATTTTTAAGGAACTAGCCAGGCGTGGTGGTGCATGCCTGTAATCCCAGCCCTCCGGAGGCTGAGGCAGGAGGATTGCCATGAGTTGGAGGCCAGTCTGGGCTACAGAGTGAGTTGTTGTCTCAAAAAAGCCAAATATGTGTATATAAATAAATACATGAATAAAGACCTCTAGGGGAGACTATAGATTTCCCCCACTATTTTATCTTCGGCCCTGATTTTTAACCGATTCATTAGAGGCAGGAAACTATTCTAACCGAAACCTTTCTCATTGCTACTGCCCAGCTTGTACTGTCTTCTCCCTTTTTCTTTCTTTTCTTCCTTCTTTCTTTCTTTCTATGTTGTTTTTTTGAGACAAGGTCTCCCAGTGTAGCCCAGGCTGGCCTCAAACTCACAAAGATCCTCCTGCCTCAGCCTCCCGAGGGCTGGGATTACAGGTGTGCACTGCCAATGCGCAGCCCAGCTCTTCAGCTGACCCCTTTCACAACGTCTGTTTATTTCACCCCGGAATAGCACAGGAGCCTGGTGCCTTGCACAGTCTCCCTGTGGACTGGTTTCTCTTTCAGCCCTTGACCTTGGTAGAAATTTCCCCAGACTCCACAGCTTGGGTCTCAGCCTCTCCAAAGTCCCCGCCCCTCCCACCCCCGACTGTCACCTCCGAGGGTGGCAGCTCGACAGTCATCAGAGTCCTCTCCTTCCAATGCAAACAGCAGCAGCAGAGCCCCCAGCAGCTCTCCACGGAGAAGTCAGCACACCCTTCGGCGCCTGTGACGCCCCAGCTCTTTATGCAGCATTTGACTCCAGGCTGGACCTGGCTGAAAGGCAACAAGCAGGGGCAGTGCTTGGTGTCGGAGCTGCTGACCAGCACTCAGAGGAAGAGGAAGCTGGCCCTGTTCCCTGCTCACTACAACCCAGGGCTGCTGCTGAGCGCCCGGCCACGCGAGAGCCCACGCATGCCGGGGAGTGGCAGGAGCCTAGGTGTGTGGTCTGCATTCAGTGACTGTGACAAAGCCCCTGAGCTCCTTAGTTTATGAAGAAAAAAGATTTCTTTAGGAATCATGGTGTGAGTGGTCATGTGGTGGGGCTGACCCAGGGCTCTGAGGGGGGTGGCGGTGGCAATGGTGGGGACACATGTACCCTATGCTCCTAGGGTGTCTCTAGTCTGACTGAGGAGACAGAAAAGCTCTATAGCACACTGAGCCCTGTTAACTCCTCCCAGCTCCTCAGCACAGGGAAGAGAAGAAGCTGGAGGATGCGAATGGCCGAGTGTCCTTCCCAGGGTTGCACGGGGTTCCGTGGCCCTGGTCAGGCAGCTGTGGTGAATCGAGCCGTGCAGACCGGTCGCACTGAGGACTTTGCCTTTCCAGGAGACCTCTCTGTGCCCGGGGAGTGCCACCCTGGCAGCTGCAGTTCTACTGAGAAGAGGCAGCCGGACACATCTCCCCGACTCCTCTTAAAGAGTCCCCAGAACCACGAGGTGTCCCTCAAGGACCTCCTGGTGGTTGCCACCCCAGCCCACCTGGACCGGAGGCCAGGCAGAAGCCATTCCAGGGCCGTGAGGGACCTGTGTGTGCAGGATCGGGACACCTAGAGCCACTGTCTGGTCTCTGGCCACAAAGGATGTGACAGGAACTAGGTAGGCGACCTGTGGTCCCAGGGTGTGTTCCCACACCGCAGGCACAAGGTGCATTCCCTGGAGTGTTGGGTGTGTAGGAAGGAGGTGGATGGATGGACACAGACCTACAGGTCAGTGGATGGTTGGGGCTTCCCTCTGTCCCAGTGCCTGAAATCCCAGCACTCAGGAGGCTGAGGCAGGAGGATCAAGAATTCCAACCCAGCCTGGGCTCCATGAGTTCAAGGCCAGCCTGCACTATGTAGTGAGACCCTGTCTCAAACAACAAACAAACACAAACGGGGTTCATATGCTGAAAGCTACACAAATAAGTGAACGAAATCAAAGATCTAAATAAACAGAGATATACCAGAGATATACAGATTTGAAGACACAACATTGTAAAGATGTTAAGTCTCCTCAAACTGAGATGCAGGCTTAATAATTCCATCTTTCCAGCCAGGGGTGGTGGCTCACTCCTGTAATCCCAGCACTCAGGAGGCTGAGGCAGGAGCATCGTTGCAAGTTCAAGACCAGCCTGGCTACAAAGTGAGCTCAAGGCCAGCTTGAACTGCACAGTGAGATCCTGTCTCAAAAAAGACAAACAAAAAAGATGCTGGGGCAGTCAGACTGCAGGGAGCTGAACGTTACACAGCTGAAATAAGTTTCTGGTGGCCGCCATCGCCAGCCACTGAGCCCTTCCTGATGCCTGGGTAGGAAGATGATGACAGGTTCCTTGGCTTTCTGACATCCCAGCAACTATTTTAAACGAAAATTGAAGAAAACTTTTTTTTTTAAATTTCAGGATCAGACTGGACTCCGCCGTGGTTTTCCCTTGCCTGCCTCTGACTCCGAGGAAGTGATTGTTTCCCCACAGCCTCTGCAGCGTCCCCAGAACCAACTAAAAGTTTATCGGTTCACTTAGATCCCCTGGTCTGATGGGTAGCTCCCCTTAGCATCCCTGAATGTGGTAGCCTCCCGGTTTGACGTGGGTGCTGCAGGACCATGAGTCACCCCAGCGGGGACTCCGTGATCCCGGCTGCTCCTCCCTGCCCCTGGGGTGGGTGGGGTGAGGGTGGGGCGCCTGCGCATCCAGGCTTCAGCTCAGTGATGTACACAACAGGCCGTGGCTGCAGCCCCTGGGACCTTTGCCCGCCAGCCAGCCCAGAGGCCTGTGTCCTGAACCTCTTCTGTGGGCTCCCCCTCCGGCCTGCCTCAGTCTCCCTGCAGAAGGCAGAGAGGGTGTAGAAGGGCCCGGCCTGCAGACGTATCTCCCAGTGACCTGCAAAAGTGATATTCCTTCCTCTCGAGTGTACATGAATAAAACAAACTGCCATGCTCAGCGCCCAGCAAGGAGCCTGACCCGGAGGGAGACTGGGAAGGGGGGCGGCTGGTCCTCCTGGGCACCCCTCGGCATCTAGAATTTCTTAGGCTCAACAGTCTACGGGAGCTCTGCCCTCCTTGCTAAGAACCCAAGTGACACTTTCTGGGGCGTGGTGGCGCCTCACAGACTTCGGTAGGATTCTCTCTCTCTGTCTGTCTGTCTCTGTCTCTGTCTCTTTCTCCCCTCCCTCCCTCGCTCCTCACTTCCATTCCTCAGTTAGGTCCCTAGTGGAGCCTGGGGAGGAGCAGAGAAGAGGTTTCAGAACCTTCTTCACCATATGGACCTGGCATTTGCCTTGTGAATTCTAATACAATGAATTTCTGCCCCTAAGAACATCAGGGGACGTCTGGTATGGTGGTGCACACCTGTAATCCTAGCACATGGGAGGCTGAGGCAGCAAGATCACTGTGAGTTTGAAAACTACACAGCACAGGGGCTGGAGGTTTAGCTCAGCAGCATAAGCGCCTGCCTTGCAAGCAGGCAGTCGTGAGTTCGATCCCTGGTACCGATAAAAAGGAAAAAGACCAAAAAAAAAAAAAAAACAACAACAACAACAAAAAAAAAAACTACACAGCACGAGACACTGTCTCAATAAAACAAAACTCAGGGGGATTCTGGAACCCTTGAACCCCACAGCACTCCTCAGACCTTAATTATCTGAGGTGCCAAAGGTTTGCAAGGATTCCCGGCATCATGGACCTTTCAGTAAGTCATAGTCCACTAGAGCAGCAGGAGGCCCTGATTAGCACAGACAGACAGACAGACAAGTACAACCTTCACCTCCCTCTGCTTCCCCAGCCCTTTCCCCGTTTGGTTCAGAAGGCTTGGAGGGAACTAATTTGGAGTCAGTTTTCCATGGTCCTCTTGGTCATAGCCAAGCCCAAGCCAGAGACATCAGACTTGTGTGAATGAAGCCTCCTACAAGCACCAAATCTCTCTCCGGTCACTAATTCCAGCCCGTCTAGGGTCCCACCCAATTAGGGTTGCCAGCTGACAAAAAGGAGGTTTCTTAATAAGATAAGGCCAGAAGGTTTTGTCTTTTTTGAGACAGGGTCTCCCTATGCAATTCAGGCTGAACTTGAACTCACTTTGTAGCCCAGGCCGGTTTTGAATTCACAGTGATCCTCCTGCCTCAGCCTCTTGAGTGCTGGCATTTCAGGCGAGTGCCACCACACCCCAAAGCCAGAGGGTTTTTGTCTTTCTAAGGGACATCCTTGTTCTTAGGGACAAGCAATCCTGGCTGTCACTCAGAGTTCCATGCTAGGGACCATCTTGAAATTTGGAATCATTGGGGCTGGGGATTTAGCTCAGCGGCATAAGCACCTGCCTTGCAAGCAGGCAGCTGTGAGTTCAATCCCTGGTACCGGTAAAAAGGAAAAAGACAAAAAAAAAAAAAAAAAAAAAAAGAAATTTGGAATCATTTCTGGACATGGAGCCCTGCATTTTCTTGAGACTTTAGAGCTCTGGGTTATCCCAGGAGAGGCCAAAACTCCCTGCCTATTCAGCCTCAGGGGGCTGAGACCGCCACCGTGTGCTAGATGTGCGTGTGAGGTGCCACCAATAATGTCACTAGGGGAAAAGGAAACAGGCACTGGTGACCACATCCACAGTTGGAGTCCATGACACCTCAAGGGCAGGAGGGATAAAGAGGGCTGTAATGCAATCTGAGGGGCACAGTGTAGCAACCTGGAAAAACTAACATCGACTATGACAAAAGACACAGGGCTCCTCCAAGTGCACTGACCTGGGGGGACAGTACAGAAGATGGGGAGACCTCCTAAACAGCCACAGTGGGGGCAGCAGCTGTTCGTCTCTGCCAGCCTTGCTGTGTGTCTCAGGACAGTGAATCTTTCTCTTGTGGCTGCGTGGCCACTGGGTGACATCCTTTCCACCTTTTGTTTTCTTAATTTTGAGACAAGGTCTTGCTGTATAGCCCCAGTTGGCCTCAAACTCCAGGTGATCCTCCTGCCTCAGCCTCCAGAGTGCTGGGATGACAGGTTTGCCATACCACGTGTGGCTCCCAGACGGATTTAAAAGAGTGCAAAAGTGATGTTCCTGGGGCTGGGGATTTAGCTCAGCAGCATAAGCGCCTGCCTTGCAAGCAGGCAGTCGTGAGTTCGATCCCTGGTACCAATAAAAACGAAAAAGAAAAAAAAAAAAAAAAAAAAAAAAACGATGTTCCTGAGCTAGGCCTAGTGGCTCACGTCTGTAATCCCAGCACTAGGGAGACTGAGGTGGGAGGATCCTTGTGATTTCGGACCAGCCTGGGCTACAAAGTGAGCTCAAGGCCAGCCTGACTGCATAGCTAGACCCCGTCTCAAAAAAAGACCAAAAAAATCAAAAAGTGATGTTTCTGCAGACTTGTTAAAAACAGCCTACCAGGAATGGGCAGGTTATCCTGGTTCGGGCTCCAAACTGTCTCGCTGTTCCCTGGATGTGTGGTTCCTCCTAGCCCAACCGACTCAAGGGAGAGGGTGTCTTGGACTTGAAGTTCCCTCCAGCTGGGAGTTAGCTCAGTGGTTGGCAAGCGCTTAGATTGAATGGGGGCCCTTGGTTCAATCCCCAGCACTCAAATGAATAGATAAAGCGCACCCAGGCGGTTCTGAGGCGTGGCCAGGTTTGGGAGTCAATCTGGTCGAGACTCACACTAGAAAATTCCACCGTCTGCAACCGTTCACAGCCCTGGTCAGTACAGCTGGCTTCCCACTTAGCTTAATTACAGCAGCCGTGGTATTTCAACTCTAGGAATCCACAGAAGCAATAAAATGCGGTTTTGCAAATGGTTAGGAAGACAGTGAAGACCTTGACGCTGCAGTTGATTGGGCGTTGCTTTCAAGATTCCGCTTTCTCCAGCCACGACGCTAAATTGCTGGCCGGCAGCCTGAGGAAGCCAAACCAGCGCAGAGGGACGCTCAGTGTACTGCGCAGGCGCCTGACGCTCCCGCGTTGCCCTGGGGGGGAGGGGCGGAGACTGTGCACGTGGTCTTCCCATCAGGCACCTGTGCTCGCTCTTTCCCAGCCCTGGTTCCGACTGGCTTGGGGTGACCTTCAGCCGAATCCTCTGTTCTATTTGCTGCCAATGCCGTCCATCCCCAGCATCTGTTACTGTCTCCCGCAATCATGAGGAGGGGGGAAAACAAGTCCTTGCAAGATTTAGCCTCAATGACTGTTTTCTCTGGCTCTCCGACTGGTTTCTTTTCCTGGATAACTCCCTGATTCCTCCTAATCTTTGAGCAAGCATTTATTTTATTTTATTTTTTGGTACCAAGGATGGAACTCACAACTACACGCTTGCAAGGCAGGCGCTTATCCCGCTGAACTAAATCCTCAACCCCTGAGCAAGCATTTTAAAAGATGGTATTCATTTGCGAGTCTCCTTTGGCAAGTGTGGAAGGCTTGTGTGGACCAGGATAATAAAATGGGAGGTTAGGGTCTGGAGATTTAGCTCAGCGGCATAAGAGCCTGCCTTGCAAGCAGGCAGTCGTGAGTTCGATCCCCGGTACCGATAAAAAGGAAAAAGACAAATAATAATAATAATAATAATAATAATAATAATAAAATAAAATGGGAGGTTAGCTGGGGATTTAGCTCAGCGACATAAGCGCTTGCTTGGCAAGTGCTAGGTCGTGAGTTCGATCCCCTGTACCAAAAACTAAAACTAAACTAAACTAAACTAAACTAAACTAAAATAGGAGGCTGAGGCAGGAAGATGGTATGTTTGAACCCAGCCTGAGCGATTGAGGGATTTAGAACCAGTTACCCTTAACCACTCGGCCAACAAAAAGGGCTGGGGACATAGCTCAGTGCAAAGGCTCTGGGCTCAATCGCTAGTACCCAAAAGCTGCAGTTTAAAAATGGGAGGCATCCCCATGAGAAAGGGGCAACTCTGAGAGTTCTCTGGCCTGGAGCAACACCAGCCTGGCTTGCTAATCAGGAGCAGAATGCCAGCTGCCTCTGCGGCCAGGCCAGGCAGGAGAGCAAACACCAAAATCCTGTTGGCAAAGCCGGCAAGGCCATCATAACGTGGCCAAAGCAAACGGAAGCTGAGACGTGCCCGGCAGCAGTGCAGCGGATGGACACTGCCTTCCCCTAGGATGGGGCAGAGGTGACAGCAGCCTGCCAAGCTCCCCTGAGTTGGAACAGCAGGAGATCAGACCCATCGCTGGCCGGACCCCACCCTCTCTGCTGTGGCCTCTCTTCATCTGACCCAGGCCATAGAAAGGCTGATCATGACAAAGATCTTCACAGACACTACTTTGCCATTCTTTATTACTTTGCTAGTCTTCCCTGCAGCCCGGTGAGCTCAGTCTTGCCCCATTTCACAGATGTGAAAACTGAGGCTCTGGACATCAAGGACACAGAGCCAGGCCTCAGTCTTAGGCCTATAACCCAGGACCCTTTACTCTCTACCCCAAGTTCTCCCAGCTTGGTCGGGCAGAGCTCCCACAGCCCAGCAGTGACCCGATGCCTTTTTTTTCTTCCTTATTTCATAGTCAAACAAGCAGAGCCTGGATGAGTGGGGAGAATCAGGGAGCAGTGTTTTTGGTTCGTGTGTTTGTTTTTAAACCAGGAAACATTGAGCTGACATCCTTAACTTCATCCACCAACGGAGAAGTCCCAGGAAGAATATAAATATTTTCAATTACTTGGGTTTCAACTGTATTTTCCCTCACATCCAAGCCAGGACCTCCAGTTTGCCAGTCCTGGGGTGTCTGTGTTTGGATGTGGCCTGAAGAGGCTCCCTTTATAACCTGCTGTCTCTCGGGTCCAGTGACCACAGGAAAACTCATACTCCTCCCCATCTGGCTTACCCTTCTCAGTGAGGTGGATGGACAGTAGCTGTGTTCACGTCTAAGGAGAGAATGAAAAACAGCTGTCGGATGGGAAGCCCTCTCCCGGTCTCCATTTCCCAGCTGATTGCCTGATTATTTGAAATTCATTTTCAAGCCAGGGGAGACCAGTATT